TCTTCTCTGCAGGCACTGAGCACCCGCCAGCCCTTCCCGGAGCTAATGGAGCCTTTCGGCGAGCCTGAGGCAGCTCCGGAGACACCCGGGCTCTCTGAGAGAGCCCCAGCTCTCTCAGCCTTTCCCCACAGCAGACATGCTGCAGGCCCTTCCTCATCTTTGCAGCACTCCTGTGGACTCGCTGTCCACAGTGAGAAGAAAAGAGGTAGGGAAAGGGAGACACAAAGGTAGGGAGAAATGAGCAGAACGGCTGGGAGAAAAAGAGGAAGTCTTTCTTCCCATGTTGCCAATGGTCTACATGACAGTCATACTCAGCAAGCTTAACTGGGCTCCCAATCCTTGTCACATGTGAGAAYGTATCTACTAGCTTCTGGAGAGGGAAAGACATCTTTGTCTTTTGGAGCCTCTTTGAAGGCACATGCAGTACGCACAATTTACAGGTTGGAAGAGACCCTTGGAGCCTCCTCTGAGGCTCATCCTCCTGCCCTGGCAGGGTTGCCTTGAGCAGCCTACCCCACACTGTGCCCAGACCGTTTCTGAGTAGCGATAGGGAAGGAATCTCTACAAGCCCTCTGGGCAACATGTGCTAGTGCTTAGGCACCCTGTTTACCAAAAGCTTCTTCCTTCCCTCAGACACAATTGCCTGTGTTTCAGGGGAGCCCAGCTCAGGACACAGCRCTCTTCCCAGCTGTGGCCTTGCCAAGCCTGAGGGGAAGCATGGCCTCCTTCCATCTGCTGGCCTTACTCCTCCCAGTGCAGTCAGTTTTTGTCCTCCCTAATCAGCACAGAGTACAGCTGCAAGAGGACCAATGCTGAGTAGAGAGAGGGTAGATGGAGGAGACAGTACCTTTTCTAATCCTTTCTACAAGCTGGCAAATGGTGTACAGGATAAAAGTATTCTCATTACATTACATTCATTACATTATTTTGTAATGCCTTAGCCCTTGTCAGTTCAGCCATTTTTATGTGGAGTATGTGTGCTTTTAACCTCTCTTGGTCACTTAATATGTTTTTCTTCTCCTATTGCCTCAATGATCCGTGGTCATCCCCCTTGTTGCAGCTACAGTTCCAAAGCTCTGCAAAGCAGCCAGAACTTCAGTGTGGGCTCAGACTCAGCATAATCCAGATGCTTGTTGCATTAGCCAACCTACTCTGTAATTAAAACTAAGTAGTATACTTCAAAAATAAAAATTAATTTTTTTTTAAAAAAAAAGCACAAAACTCTCTTTTTCCCTTGTATCAGAAAGCTGGTAAAAGTAGTTCAGCCTGCAATATTCAGACACCCAAGGGATGAGATTTACATCACAATTCCATATCAAACCCATTGGGTTGGTGAGCAGAGGTGCCTCTCCCACCCCTATGAGTGCAGCAGTAACATTGTTTCCTGTCTCTGGCCATTAAGCAGTCACAGGAATCCCACCAAGCCAGTGCTATGGTATGTGTTAACTTTTCCCTTCTCAAAGAGACATGAGGCACTCTCTAAAGGCTCACACTCACTTTATTATTTTGCACCAAGCAAGATCTAGAAATTACTGTACAATTGTTTGGCACTGGTGGGAAAATCACTGTATGGTCCCTCAATTTCTCCAAAGGCATGAACCCTGAGGTCAGATCATCTTCTGAGAACCATTTCTTGTTGGCCTCCTCATCTACTTTTCAGACCTTGCAGTACACATCATATTTCATGTTTGCTGACAACTTTGTTCCCCTTAGGCAGTCATGAAATTTTTGGTCCATCTCTTCATTCTGAGCCTTAGAGAAATAGTTTCTCCAGTTCTCAATAACCCCTGTATACCGCAAGAAGTAACAAAAGCTGAAGATGGCCACTACAGAGAAAGAATAATAACTTGTCATACTCACCAATGAAATCAGGCAAAAAAGAGCTGCTTTATGTCCCAAGAGGCCTGATTGTTTGACAAGGCAAGTCATCAAGGACAGAAAAGCAATGGTTGCTTATAGGTTGTAGAGAGCATCACTCGCTGGCAGGCTGCCTACCTTTCCTCCTCAGGAGCGGTTTCCAAGGTGGTTTTGTGACTTTATTTTCCAAAGTGTCAGTGCCTTTCCTAAGGCACAAAGGCTCAGGTTGGCCTTTCTCTGCACATCACAACCTGATCTTCTTCCCTTCCAGATTCAGAATCAGCCACACCACCCAGCTGCTCATGAGAACACCATGCCATCACTTGCCCACAAAGAGGAACYGTCCGCTACATGCAATGTAGTATAACTGTTTGTCAAACCTATACCAAGGGCTGCTACAGAGAAATGTAGCAACAGTTTTCCAAGGGAAGCAATGACAGAATACAGTAAGTCATCATAGCTGAGGCACTCATGTATGTTCCCCACTAGCAGCAAGAGACTCCTGCCAACAGCAGATGCTCATCATACAAGATGCCCAGGTGACACCACGCCGTTACCTGTGCTTCCCCATTAGCCCAGTGAGCCCATGAATAAGTGACAAGGGCCAGCTGGAAAGGGACTTAAAAGGCAGCTTTTTCACTTGTAGATACTTACTCTTACGGAAGAGAATGTCCCCAAATTTTCCATGGATTTCCCTGGATTTCTCTTTCATGGCTTGGAAACTGGTCTTTTTGACAAATCTGTGAAAATCTTCCTCACTTAGGGAGAACCCAAAGAAGGCAGCAATCTTCTTCATTCCCACTATCTGGTTCTGGTCAAAGGAACGTAGCACAGGAGTGAAACAAAAGGTCTCAGCACCTTGCCACCGGTACATACCCAACTTTTGGCCTGGCAGAAGAGGGCTGCCTCCMACAACATCACCCAGGAATTATAAGGACTTGCAACACAGAGGGAATCCACAAACAGCAACCTCAGCTGCAATGCTTTCTGTTCTCTCCTGTAAGTAACTGCACAGAAATGACTACTTCTGAAGAGAGGGAAAGCTGCCCTCCTCTTAATATGGGCCTTCCATAAGCATATGAGAACAGCTCAGAAAGCTTGATCTCCTCATGAGGCATGTAGATTTGATCCAAGTCTTTCTTCCTGCCCATAGTGATACATATAAGGGAAACTGTGCAGTGCAGTGTGTGCATGAAGGAAGACCTGGACAAGACACTTCACCTCTTTCTGGTCCTCGTAGCTTATCACCATGGTCCTCTCATGGTCAGTAAACTTACTTCACTCCATTAAATGATCAAAGTAGGAGCCCCAATCCACTGCAGACAAAAGTAAGAGTTAGAGTCATGCAGGGTAAAGCCCCTCCAACCCCACTCTGCAAAAGGACCCCCCCCCCCAAAAGGGGCCCTGATCTTAGGTGAGTCAGCCTAGACAACTGTCTAAGAAGGGCATCAGGATCATGAAATAAGAAGCAGAGCAACTCCTCTGTTGTTCTGGCTGATATCTACATGGGATTGCTCCAGCTCTAGCTATTAGGTAGCAGTGAATGCCCTTGGAAATGCTTGGGGAGGGATGCTGGACTACAATTTCCAGAACTATGCCCCTGATGTGGAGAATGCCCGAGGAAAGAAGAGAACATACATCTCCCATTCCTGAAAGCTGTGAAAAACTCATCCCATGAGGCGAAGGAGGGCAACATGGGCAAGCTGTTGTTGAAATGGTAGTAGGAGACAGCTGTGTCCTTGGGGTTCTGAACCAGCAGGAGGATCTGGCAGAAGAAAACACATTATTTGGTTGAGATTTGGTGACTGGGCAAAACACTAAGTTCCTAAGTAGTCACATGGCTATGAATACCTACACACATTGTACAGTTGTGGTCAATATTGGTCTAATATCTTCTCCTGAGCAAGAAATCAGRACCTTGGGAGGCTACTTACTGCTAATGTGAGCATCAGGATGCCAAAAAAACACTTTTCAGCAATGTCCTTGGGACACCCCTCTGAGCTCACTTCGGGTAAGAGGAATGACCTCATGTTCTTCTGACCAAGAGACTCATGAAAAGGGTGTGGCTTCACCCATGCTTCTCAGTGTACTAACCCTGATGAAGAGGGCCTTATCCTCAGTTTTCTGTGGGCTTTCCACCAGTACCTGACTCTTAGAGGCAAGATAAGGTTTGCTTAGTTTCCCGACATAAATTTGGAAGCACTTTTCTGTGAAAATTTGAGGGCAGTGATATCCAACCACAAGCACAGCACCACTTGAGCCAGCACCACTGCCATTGAGAGAGGATGTCTGTTCATAACCTCAACACACAACATGCTGCTCCTTCACCTTTGGAAACATTCCGGAGCACTGAACAGCCCAGGTGGAACTGCAGGAAACACATTTTATACAGTCAGCAGAAAGCTAATTTGGACTAGAAATGCTTTTACAGCATGATGTGGAGAGAGGACTCACCTTAGCCTTGCTTTAGAAAAAGGACGTTGGCAGGAGGTGAGGTGGGAGATGGGTTAGTATAATTCTTCTGGAAGGCAGTTTCTTCATCCTCTTTAAAGCAAGTGGAAAGAAAAAGGACAGAAGTTGCTTATGCAGTGAAAATGTGAGATTTTGGGAATCATGGGTAATGGGGAAAGATGTGACTAGACCTCAAGGATTCTGTCTTTTGGGAAGACTACAGGGACTCATTGAAGGAATAGGCTTCTGACAGTTTCTGTCACAGCTTCACAGGTGATGGGCCAAAGACAGCACACCAATGAGAGGGTTCTTACTCATTCAACCTGTTTGGTCCAGGGCTTCAGGCCCCTATGGCACTCCAACACTCTTCGTGCTCTGAGGTGCTGGGTGGAGCATGAGGGGCAATAGGATAAGCAACTTGTACTGAGTATAATAATATTTATGGCTGTAGGGCCTGTTCCTCATCTCTGGGATCACCTATGGTGTTTTAGTTATTTCTACCTTTGATAGGAAATTTGACAATATTCACTCTGCCGACCTCAAATTTTCCAGGATCTCCAAACTCTAGACGTGGAAATATCTGTAGCTCCCTTTCAACATTTATTCTCTTTTTAATTTCTTCCTCTGTATATCTGGCATCTGTTGATTCCAAATCTCTCACAGTTTCACCAAGCCAGTTCATACCTGAACACATGCTGACCCACTCCTGTTTATAGTCTTGTCACAGTCAAAGAAGTTTSACCTCCCCAGCTAGGTTTACATAACTGGCAGGAGAAAGGGTCATTAATAAAATCTTCGTAATGCCAAGCTCTTCACAACCTTTGGACTAATCTCAGCTCTCAGTCTCTGCAGCTTTACACAGCTGCTCTATGAGGCTGTGATGAACCAAGCTTCAACTCATATCTGTCATCTTTGGGGTTGGGGAGGTGAGATCTCATACCTTTGCACCATTTCTGACTCTGCACAGCTCTGCAGGCAGCACRCAAAGCTCACGTGATAAAGATCATCAGGTCCTCTTTTTCTGCAAATCTGCAAACCTATCTACCTTTTTCTCTGAAGGGACATATTGAGAGGTAGAGGAAACAGCCAAGAGTCCCAATAACAGACATGCCTTTCCAAGTCTATGAAAACAACCATACTGTCATCCTCATTAGTAGGAAGCATTGCCTTTGAAGCAAGAAGGCTAACCATATACTTTCCTGTTGTATCAAGAGTATAGTCAGAAAATCCAGGGGAATCATGATTTAGCTAGCAGTGGTGAGGTGAATATTGGAATATTGTGGGAAAAAAAGGAAAAAAAAAAAAAAAAAAAAGGAAAAAAAAAAACCAGAAGGTGATCTTACTGCAGTCTTCCACTATCTTCAGGAAGATTATTGAAGACAGAGCCAAATTCTTTCCAGAGTTGACCAGGAAACAACCAATGAGGAATATTACAGACCATAGCAAAGGGAATTCCAACTGCATACAAGTTAAAAACACAAATCCCTACAGAGGGAAAACACTGCCACAGGTTTCCTATGAGATCTGTATCCTCAAAGTCTGAAACTCTGCCAAACAAAGCTTTGAGCAACCAGACATAACTTTGAAGTTATCCCTGCTTTGAGTAGGTGGTGTTATGTGACTTCTAGCGGTGCTTTGTAATCTAGTATTATGATCCTGTAACCTCCTTAGCAGATTAACAACACTGTAAACTTTCTTCAGATATAATCGCTGTGTGAAATGATAGCACACACTTGTGGATTACAGCATTGTGTAACTGACTTTTTATCAGGCAAGCAGCACTCACCCATTTTCTGATATCCTGTGAGAATCACATCATTACTCCCAACTTCAAAGGACTTTAGAGTTTCCAGCGTTTCTGGACTGCTAAGAGTAGTAGGGAACAAAATGCCTTTCTAGGAAAACTGCAGACTTCCAGGGCCTTTTTTTCATACTCTGACAAAGCCTTGACCATTATTTCAATGACTCTTTCTCTATTTCTAGTCATGTTTGTATCCCTGTGGAACTCTTAGCAAAAAAATCTGAGGTTAAGGCTGTCTTTATACAATTCAGAAAGACTTTATGAGATAAGTTATGAAACTGCAAAGGACATTCACTCAGGAATGAAAACTCAGGACACTGATTAACTCCATTTGTGCTTTATTAACTCACTTTGAAATTATGGGCTTGGAGACTAACAGTAGAGGCAAGGAATTTCTAGTGTAGCTGATTGATTGTAGCAACAGTGGTCTCTTTCCTACAAAGCACTGCTATTCTGACAGCAATTATGGTAGCGCTGCTGGTATTCGTAGTGTTGAATGAAACTCAAAAAAGTGCCAGATCTTTCCTGCCATAAAAATTTCACTTGAAAAAAAAATCACATTTTAATTTTATTGTTTCAGAAAGTCTTGCCAGAACTAAATACAAATACCATTTAAGGCTTACTTTTCTTTTTGAATATTCATATTTAAGATGTTATACTTCCCCAAAGTATTTTTGTTTCCTTGGACAGATGGCCCTTTCCTTCCTCCTCTTTCCTATTACATTATCTGTTTGAATGCATGGACCCACTAAGTGACTGTAATAGAGAAAAAGCGTTGCTCTGAATAGCTCTGTACCTCAAGGTGAGAGTATAAGGGCAGGAGGTGAATGGACCCATGGTCCTGGCATAACAGTGGAAAGCAGTACTTCAATTTAGGAGCTAACACAGTGATACCTGTAACATTTCTTGAAGGTTAAGCATCACCGTTCTTTGCTGAGATAGATGTGCTCTTACATCTGTCATTTCTGTAAGAGCCCTGCTTGTATATTGCAACCATTACATTATCAGCCTGCTCTGAGGAAAAGAATCATTTCATAAAGTGCTACTCTGCTGTCATTTAGCATATATTTTTTGCGCCATAAACCAGCTGTTAGCCTCTGGGATCTTCTGCTGACCAGTTGTCCCTGTTATGAACCCTATTACTTGTGCTTCAAAATGATATCAGCTGATTAGGATGTGGATCATGCACTATAAGATTGTTCATTGTCGTGAGCAGGAGGAATGAATATGATCAGGTTTTAAACTCTAATTTTTCTAGAGGAAAGGACCCTACCATCTGATATTTCTGAAGTTTCACAGCCCACCAATTTGCCCATTATGCTCTTTTACCTCTAAAAAGCTCCTTGAAACTCTCACAATACAGTGCATTTTTAGCGCCTCCTTCTAATACATTTAATTTATAGATAACTCAGAGGGGAGTTTAATCAGAATAATTTATTTTCAGAATATGGACTCAAGAAGGATGTTGTTTGAGGGAGATAATTTCTAATATCCTTTTTCGGAGAGTATCAAACTTTTCTGAGTTTTTTGAATAATCTCTGTTGGCTTAGAGATGGCTGAAGTCAGGCCTTTATATATTCTATAGTGAATTTTATTGAATATTATTATCTGAATCCATCTGGGTTTTTTTCTAAATATTTTATTTATTATTGCATGTTCATTCCTTTTCCTTTGTGGAATTTAGATTTCTACACAGCTGGGCAGAACTAACCATCTTTAGAAGAATTAACYAAAAAGACCAAATATTTTATCCTTCCTTATGATGTCTCCTGTTTTTAGTTATTTTATGTTGGGTGATGGCTATATTTATTTATGTAAAATATAGATACATACAAATATATACAAGTATATATATTTTTAACTTCAAGTGAAAGTAATCTTCTTCATTTTTTTCCAAGATAGCTATCTGAACTGCATCTGATCCCTGGGCAAGTCTGAAATAATGTGTCCACAGTGCCAAATGTCAACGACAGCACAAAATAGTTATTATATTAACACCTCAGATCATCGCACTTAACACTCCAGTTTTATTAACACACTCAGTTGCAGAGAATTTTAGCATCTTCAGTTTCAGACAATTTTCAGTTTGGAAAGCAATCTATTTTAGTGTTTAAACATTAATCAAAATTAAATCTTAAGTGAAGGCATTTTGTTACATCAGGAATGAATGAAGAATACTAACAGTAGTTTTGAGGTAAGACTGCTTGATTGGCCAAAGTAGCAGGGAATATCATCTTCAGGTCTCTATACATTATGTCTTCTCATTCCATTTTATGATTTAACATGGAAAACATAAAAGCACCCTTAGGAAAGGCACTCAGGCATATAGATTAAGAAATATCTTCAAACCCAAGGAAAAGAATAAAGGTCATGATATTTCTTTTTACTAAGTTTCGTATAGGTAAAAAAAATAGTCTTCAGTCAAGGAAGTACTAATTTATATAATATTTAATCAAGAAAAGAAGATAATTAGGGGATTTTCTGATACAAAAAGAAAATTATTTGTGCTTATGTATAAGAGCGTTACCTCTGACCATATCTTGCCTCTTAAAAAMCAATCTGAAACCCAGCTTAAAATTCTGCATTCAGAAAATTTTAAATCCTTAAAAATAGTCTTCATTCCCCTTCATTCCTCTCCATCTAGCTTTGATGCTGTTTACTCTGAAGTCAGGGGAAGGTTCACATCTTTATTAATTAAGGTTGTGTTGGACTGTTTGTTTCTTTTCCTAGTGATTTTTTTTATAAAAGTTATTGCCTTATCTGAAACATTTTTGCATAAAGACCTCCACATACTACTTAGTTTTTGCTATCTAAAAAGACTGAACTTAGCTGGAAAGAAAATGCATGTATTTCCTTCCAGGTGATAGCTACTGAAACAGGACTATCAAATTTATTTGAATATGATTTATTAGCATCTTATTCAGTAAATGAGTGTAACCAAAGGAGGTCAAAGACATCACGTCTCAACCAAAACCCTATTATCCATTATTGTGCTAGTTTTCTAGTTTTTATCATTTGGATTATTAGAGAGTGGAAAGCTCCTGTGCTAACCATATCGTATTTTGATGTATACTTCATGCATCAGTTTTTACAGTATATTTCATACTTTAACTTTGTACCCAGCTTCGTTCCTGCTAAGAGTTCTTCAAATGCTTTGTCCATTGCCTGGTTCTGATCTTCATTGAAGAAACTCTTCCAGTCACATACGCCACCTTCAGAGAAGCAAAGAAACTCTTGAAAAATATGAATTTGCATTCTTTTTTATGTTAGATCTGTAATTCTTGTTTTATGATATGGATACGTTAATTGCAGTTCTTCCACTTCTATTCAGAAGCTTCACTTTTATTCTCTTTTATTCAAAAATTTCAATCATTTTGCAATATAWCTTTGCAAGGTCAGTGGAGTGAATATTGTGTAAAATTATTATAAGGAAAAGGATCAAACAACCTAAACTCTTTTTCAGATGCCTGTATACAATAAAGGTGCTCAAAGTGCTACTTCCCAGTGACTTCTCACTCCTCAATCAGTTCTGACTGGCAAGGTGAAAGGTCGTGAACAGCTGATTTAGATTTGTCACCTGGAAGGAAGCATGGCTGTTCATTCAACAGGTCGTGTTCTTGTCCTGTGACTCTTTTAATGCAAAATGCAGAAGAAAACAGACTCTGTCGTGAAGGTCTAAGTGTTCCCAACACTAAACTGCCAAATTAATTCCATTTTTTTTTTTCGCTTTGGCTTCTTGTAGATTAGAGTTGAATGGAGGTTAGCAGTGGCCCTTTCAGGAGACTCTATACACTCCTAAAAAGTGTGATAAAAGTGTGATCATGTCATTCAGGCTGAGTTTGGCCCAGGTTGCCTGCTTTATAAGAGTTATTCATGTAAGTACCTAACAAAGGATGATGAAAATCCTAAAATTTTCATTCTTGGGTAGTCTTCTCAAGCATAAGAGTGAGAATGTGATTGATGCTAATGTGTAGCTAACATCAAGTCTGCAAAAAAGATGCTGAATAAGGGTGAGCCAAGATTTTCAGAGACCGATGTTTCCACTTTTTGACCTTTTGAAACCCCCTACCTTTACGAAAGAGTGCAGTGCCCAGCGCTCCATGTGTCTTTGGTGAGTTCTTCTTCATAGATTGGAAACTGCTCCTTTCTACAATATCCTGAATCTCTTCCTCAGTCAGTGAAAGCCCAAGGAAAGCAGCTATATTTTTCACTCCCAGGGCCTGATTCTGAAAAGAGGGAACCAACATACCACATGTCATTCAAACAATTTATTGTTTCCTTTCAAAGTGTTTTCACTCCTCTGCATCTCTCTTCTGGCTACATAAATAAACTATTTACAGGATTCAGTAGGACTAAAACAGTATTAGTGCTTCTCATTTCCACAATTCTTACAGAAGAGAGAAGCTGTCAAACAGCTTATACAAGCTTAACAAAAACAAGTATAAGTAATTTACAGTTGAATCAGATCAACAGTGTTTGGTATATTTTTTTCTTGCAAAACATAATTATTTGGAATTTAGATTAACAATGATTTGGGTTTGCACCACAATTTACAATAAAACAATTATTTTCATATATAAAGTAAATTTTAGAAAAAATTAAGTTTGAATTTTATTCTGTCCTCCCTAAGTCCCCAAATCAGTCTCATATTTTATCATACAGCACGAATTTATTATTTGAATAGAATGGTTAATCAGTTAGCCTCTTTGAAGCAAAAAATGTTTGTTAAATTTTTTTGACTTCACCTCTTTCAGCTCTTCATAAGTTATGGTCATGATATTTTTATCATCAACATGCTTGTTCCATTCAGAAAGGTAATTAAAGTAGGATCCCCAGGGCACTAAAAAAGGAATATAATCTTAAAACAAAGAATAAGTGAAGATCAGACATGCTTCTTAAAGTATAAGCCAATTTTTACTGCTGAGGTTGCTACCTCAGGTATGGATGTTATTAATCGCATATACACCAAAGGCCTTCCCCTCTCTGTGGAAATTACACAGTTTTGCTCCAGACTCACTGGCCCTAAAGCCAACTCCAGCAGCATCGTTCTTCTTATCAGTTCACTGCTGCTGTGAAGAATCTGCCTTCACAGAAAGTCTGCAAGGAAGGCTCAACATCTYAGTGGGCATCTCCACAGAAAAGTTCCTCTTAGAAATGGGATTTTTTTTAAGCAACTCGCATCCTATCAGTGTGTTTACAGTTTTGTGTGACCCCTTGTTGTGCTTACAGAGCTGCTGTGGGGCCTATTCCCTTTCTCACACATTTTGTAGCACTGTTGTAAAGCCAAATCTGCTCTCCAAGCTCATCATCCATGCCACACAATCAGACTGAAACAACAGAGAGSAACAGCATTAGAGTAGCAGCCTAGGGCTGGGAGTGAAGGGTAACTGAGGTTGGACCCAGAAGGGTAAGAACAGAGAGTCAGGGAAGAGATTACAGAAGTCCAGCCTATCAGTCACCACCTTCATGCACACATACCTCAGGCTTATGCTACTCTTTTTGAATCCAGATGGTGAAATTTGCCAGTATGTCAGTGGACTCTCAGCTATGAGCCCAAAGGGCTTTCAGTACTCAAGCCACATTGCAGAGCTCCCTAACCCAGCTTGAGCCCCTGCTTAACCTTCCTTTTGCTGATCATAGCATATTCTGAATGGAGAATTGCAAAATTTGAAAGTAGGGTGGGAGCGAGACTTTCTTTTGTGATACACTAGACTAGGCCCAAGCAAAGTTAAAATATGAATAAATGACACAGATGGAAGAATATACTGTACTTTTCCCAGTCATGAAGGCTATGAAGAAATCATCCCAGGATTCATAGGAGGGAAGAGCAGATAAGGCATTGGAAAAATGGTAAAATGATGTAGCTACATCTTTCAGATTGCGAAGCAGCAGTAATATCTGGAAAATTAAAATAGGTTATTTCTAGAGCAAGACATAGCAAACCACTATATAAAGATTATAACAATCTACTCTGTAACAACAGTTTGGGAAATATGTTGTACCTCATATATTATTTACAAATTACCAGCTTTATTCTAAATCCAGAAGGTGAAGTATTTCAATGAAGCCTTGTGAATAATCTTCATTGCCTTGTGAAGAYTATTGCCTATAATTTTAAAATTATCCTTTCCAAGTTAACAAATTAAGTATACAGAAAATAAACCTGGTTCATTTGATAAAATCATCATTCATTATTTAGGTATACGGGGAAAAAATGACACAAATACAAAAGCTCTCTAAAACTTAAAACACTGAAGACATGCCTCACTTTTGATAGCATTGTAAAAACACTGCTTCTATAGGAAAAAAAAAAATATCAAAATACATTTCAGTACCTAAGTTTTCCCCTCACATGTCCGTTTTGGAGATGAACACAGCACTTTTTTGTTGTCAGGATTCCTTGGCATTTGGTAAGATAAATGAGAATTATTTAGCATATTCTCAAAAGTGAGCCAGCTAAGCACTTACTAAAGGTAGTAGTGATTTTGAAAATTAACAATAAAGTACTATATTGCCTCTAAAAAAATTATAAGCACATGTGCTTATAAGACATTAAAATCACTACTTACCTTGGCTTTACTTTTGAAGATTGACCTGGGAAGATTCTCAGGAATGAGATGAGTAAATATAACTCTTCGAGATGGTAATTTGCTCATTCGCTTTATTAAGAATTAGAAGGAGGAAAATGGATAGTTTAATTAATAAAGTACTTACAGAGTCTTACTTCGGTAAAATATTACTTAGTTAAACTTAACAGCTTTTTTGGCTAATAGAAGTACTTATAATTCTCTTTGAGTATTATCCAGAGATCTTTGAGGATTAATCTTAGTAGCTCTAATCTGCAAAAGCCTCAGAGAATGAACATCTGGGAATAAAAAGATTATCCATTACTACTTTTCTTCAGAGAAAAAATAATGAATTCTGCTGCACAAAGGATACCAAATCTAAAGAAAAGAAGACTCTAATCGGGAGGAGGTGAAAACTAAAGAATTCTAATGAAAGAGAAAGGAGGAGGAAGAGGAGCTAATGAAAGAGATAAAATATATGTTATCTGGCTTTTCATGAAACTTGTTAAATGTGAAGTGAGCTATAATGAATTTCAATAGTTCCTACTTTCTCTCCAGTCTCTATAGTGTGTATTTATTCTTAATCATTTGCAAAATACCAGATTCATACTGGGCAGATAGAGTCAACAGAGAAATGGTCAGAGATCTTATCAAAGAGTGGAATATTTCACATACCATATATTTAGTATTCAAAACACCACATTTTAAAAGCTGTAGAATATATTCTGTGCTCACCTCATATTTCTCAGCATCTCCAATTTCAAGGTAGGGGAATTCTTCTAGTTCTTCTTTATTCACATGGTTTTCTTCATCTTGATTTCTCTTTTCAAATGTTGCTATCAGATCAGTTAAGATCTGACCTACCCAATTTGTACCTAAATGGGAAAAAAAAGTTCTATTTATAAAAGTTTTTTAAAATAAGCAGAAATTGATTTGTCAGGATAGCCAAGAGGTAAATGGTACTACCAGATGAATTGCCCAGTCCCTTTTCATATGATAATCACAGCTGACTGTCATCTGAAATTTAAATCTCCCTTCACAAGATTATATTTCTCTGACTCAAATGGCTAAGTAGCAGCTGGAAAAAAAAATGTATATCATAAATTATTTAAAAAAAAAAAAAAGAAAAGAAAAAAAAAGAGAAGGATCACTAAGGTATCAATATACCAAATTTTTATTTTGACCAACTAGAGGGAGGACTGGAGTGGTAAAACCCTAGTATATTATATATCTTTCCTCATATTCTATATATATTTTTTGGAAGACAAATCACAAAACTTCAAAATACTTCTCCACAGACACAAAACCATATAAACCTGAGTGAACCTTGTGCATCCTGAACAACTCACTTTTATTACTCTTAGGTGTATATATATATATGTGTATACACATATGCATCTTCTCTTATAGTTTAATAACAAGCAAAACTAGATTCAAAAATTGTGCTGTATGATTATTTTCTTTAGTAATATGTGAACATACTTCCTGACTTCTGGACATGATTTTTCTACATCTTTATCATTTCAGAATTAATGGCCATATTTTGCTGCATAGCACATATTAGAAAACAGACCATGATAAAGCAGCAAACAATTCTATCTTTTAAAATGTTTATATTTACTGTAAGATATTGTGAATCCTACAGCACAAGGAGAGAAATAACTAGAGTAAAATACATACGTGGCTCATCAAAATTAAACCTGTACCTCTGACAGTGACCAATGTGTTGATAAAAGTAGTTGCAGGTAAAAGAAGTTTCAGGTAAAACCAGGAAACATGTAGTGTAAACAAACAACCCCATCAGAGATCTCCTCTTGATCTCCTCATGGGGACACTTTCAGATTGTTATAAAAGCAATTTTTTCATAGTTATGGATTTTAGATATATTTGATATCTGTGCGAAAAATATGAAGGATATGCAACATTGTACATGAAGGCAATAAAAGGTCAGTTACATGTAGTTACAAAGCTAGGAGCCTGAAGGAGCAGGACCTGCAATGTCAGCAAATCTAGTTATTTTTGATATGACAGTTATACTTTGATTCTCTGCAATTGTGTATTTTATTCATATATATAAAATTAAAATTATGCGCATAAGCAAAGAAGTTTGAAATCCATTTTGAAAATTTTCCTACAAGATGTCTTTGTATCACATTGTGCCTTTTTGAGAAAAGAGTGGTTTTACAAAATTTTCTGAAAAATCTTACAATATCTTTCTCATTACAGAACCTTTTTTTATGAAGAAAGCAAGCTATATTCACCAGTTTTAGGGTATCCTGCTAAAATGACATCATCAGGTCTAGCTTCAAAGGACTCCATGGCTCTGAATGCTTCAGGACTGCAAATAGTAGCAGGGTAGAGAATYCCCTTGTAAGAAAAAAGCAGTTCCTCACGGTCCATTGTGTCAGCAACACCCATCGCTTTTTCTATCAGATCAATAAATTTCTTCCTTGAGTTTTCCATTCTTCTCTCTCTGTTACACTGGTTCTTTCAGAGTATGAAATGCTATGCAGAGAAAGAGAACCACAAACTACCTTTCAATAAAGTCTTTTTTTTCATCTGGTGCATAATAGCTTTCTACTATTTCTGAAACCACTAAGAAATATGTAATTCCAGATAGAAACCTTAAGCCACTTGAACCCTTTGAAAACAACAGAAGTTCAAAGTAGCTCAACAAGAAAAACAAGAAAAAATAATTAAATCTTAGGTTTAAAATCTCATCTAACTTCAAAGTATCATATGCCAAAAACCACAAACAATTACAGCTTGTGAATATAGTATCTAAAAATACCAGAGGGACACTCAGTATAGGCTAGAGTTTAAATTGCATAATAAAATCCTTGATAGTAATTCTATTTTCTCAATATTCATGATTCTGGTATCAGAAGTGTTCAGGTTGGGAAGGACACTGTTCACTACGTTAATGATCTGTGGATGTCCTGTGATGGTGTCCTGCTGATCCTTTGTGGGATGGGTGGTTGGGAAAGCACAAGAATTAACAAACTCTTAGCCATCACTTTTCTCTAACTGAGTGCAATACAGAGGTTCGGGTTTCTGAAGTTACCTAAGCCCAGAATACATAAGAATTATTAATTTAGATTAATTAAGTCACCTCTGGAGTCAGAGGTTCATCGCTTGAAGTGCGTTACAGAGTTTGATCACGATAACTGAAGCTATTATCAAACCAGCAATGATTAGTCAGTTGTTAAATAGTGATTGAAAACACTGAGGAAAGAATATATCTGAGTTCATTTATCTCATTAGAAAACTACAATTAGGTCAATAAGCATTCTCCAATCAAGAGAAAAAAAGGGGAAGGGGAAAAAGCATACTTAAATGGTTCATCTATTGCAGACAATAACATGAACAAGGGTTGCCATGATAGAAAGTGTTCATTTCATTTCATTTCATTTCATTCACACACTCTGCTCCTGACAGAATAGACTGAAGACATTTTAGGAGAGAATATACAGAGGATATCCAGTATATTTTTGCTAAAAAAAGAAAAAGTCAGTCTAGCCAATTATTCCTTGGGGGCATGTTTTATCCTTAGGAACCAGCAGAACATTATTAGAAGAGAAAGCCCAATTAGAAGACYTAAGTCATGAAAAGAGATTTTGAGAAGAGCTAAATTTCTTGGCAAAAATAGCAGGATCAAGATTTAGTAGTGCAAGCCTTTGATAAATCATGTACTATGATACCTTAGCTGAGAGATGGGAGGACTATATCTTACACTGTACATGTTACATAAGAAAGACCCTCCAATCCTGCCAAATATTGAAAGAGGAGACTGTAGAAAAACATCAGCTGGTTTAAAGTTTCTGAGAAGCAGCTTTAAAAACATGGAGATTAAAAATAGATTAAAAGATTTGGTAATCTCCAGATTAATGGCATTTGCTATTCAAGCGATCAGAATGCTTCTAAAGATTCCTGATTTCTCATAAAGTACCAGACCTGATCTTTTCTAATTGTGGAGATTTGCAGAAAGAGGCTGGTGGCCTTTCCTGTGATAGCCACAGGACCCTGACAGATGACAATTGCCTAGTAAGCTGCTCTGCTTATGTGGATCCATTTTCTGTTAAACGAAACTCCGAAACAGCCTTGAAACATACCCTCATGACATTATACATTCAAATGTTAAATGGGAAAAAAAAAGTACTTCTCTCTAATTATTTCTATATGAACCTCATTAATCTCAATCAGTCTCTGAAAAAGGCTTCTATAGATTAGTCTGCCAAAATAGCCTTTGGACTTTGATCCATGCATGTATCGATTCTGTATCACTCTGAACATCCATCAGTCCCAGAAGGACATTTCCTGGGCTCCTACAGCTGAGTCCATGAAAAGTAGAACTTAAAGTGGAATTGGTGCTGTCACTGAAAATGTGGCAATTCTTCCCCTTGAATGATTTAGCCCGTGCTTGATCAGAATGGAGTCAAAGACTCTAGATAGAGACTGGGGTGATAGCAAGTCATTCTTCAGTTGAGGGGATGTGATTTACTGGGAGTGGGATGTGGGCAAAGGAAAGATTATAGATATACTTACTTTTCTGCTACTCTGAATGAAGTCTTGGTCCTTCTAAAGCTACACGATGTTTTCTTCTGGTGATTTCAGTAAAGCTGTCTTTTCACTCTCTTTTTTTTTTTTTGCATATCACAGAACGTTACTTGCCTTAGATAAACTGGTAGTTGAGACAACATGAAAAATAAATCATTGTTTATTCATTTAATATAAAAAGTTGAGTATTTCTTGTTAGCAATCATCCAACCTCATCCAATTACATCTCTAGATACAAATGCTCCAGACGTTGAGCCCTGAGTGTATTAATTGTTTTACCTTAAAGATCTGTAAGTGAACGACTTGGTAAACTACCACTACAAGAACCATGCTCACTCTATACACCTTACCTACCCAAAACTACAGAGTTTATGTRAAGAAAGATCTTTTGCTTGAGTAAAAGAAGTGAGTTCCTAAGGAGATCTTTGCTTGCATATAAACATCTCATCTGGTGGCTGCATAATTATTTTACCATTATTGTGCTATATATATATGTACTCTTATGTTAATACTATAGTAATCTGCTACATACTAGACTCAGAATTAGATAAAAATTAGCTTAAAATTTTTCATAGAGCTTCCTATCTAGACATCTGCCTGTTATGGCGATTGAAAAGATTGTTATGTCTTCCGATTTTAAGATAATGTAGAATCAATCTAGGTCCACCGATTCCTTGCTCCTAATATTCCTTCTGTTAAAATCTGGGATCCGTGGATCAGAAGTATGTCCTTGTGAGCCATGCTGCTGAATTCATGATCTTATCAACAGCTTACACCAATATGCTCCCAAAGCATTAACTGTGTGGACCCCCAAAAGGTTACAGTATGACTTCTCAAGAGTACATGACAGATTTGAGCAAACAGTTACAAAACAGATTATTCATCAGACTATAAACCACTACTGTTATTTTCTCAAAAGTGAAGGAAATATTAAAAAAAATAGAGATGAAAAAGAATTAATCCTCCTGAATAATCATGCATCCTCTGTGCATGATCCAGGCTTATTTTATTTACCCTTCAAAATACTGCTTGAACTGGAACCTAAATCTTTGCAGAACTATCCAGGATYCTTTCACTTTTTGATTTTTCTTCTGAGCTGTAGATTGTTCCCAGTGAAGCTCACCTTCTCCAACCTAGCTTTGTCACAACATCATGTTAGACAATGGTCAAAATACAAAAATAAATAGGTATACCCAATGCTGTCTTTCTCCTATCCAATGTTTCCCATTTGTCTCTTCTAAACTTCACTCTCACACCTCTTTTTCATCTTCAGTTTTGTTATCTTGGGAGAGTTGCCACTTTCTTAATCCCTTTCCTGAAACAAGGTACGAAATAAGCAATTTCCCCTAGCTTTTAATATCTCTATTAACGCATTGGCTAGTGGCCAAAGTACAGATACAAAGGTTAACTACTCTGTACCTTCTGTTAATTATCTACTGGGTATAGAGGACAGACATGTCAGCAAAGACAGAACATTTCTYGTCACAGAATTCTGGAGCAATCGCCTTCTCATACTAGTCTGTACATTTAAACTGTATGTTAACAAACTCCTCAAACTATCACCAAAAGAGATGTATTTCCTTGTTGGGGAGTGTTTTGTTTTGTTTTTATCCTGTAGACCTGATCTGTTTTTCATAAATATTGGTGACATCAAAAAAAAAAAAAAAAAAAAAAAAAAAAAAAAAAAAAAAAAGAGAGAGAGAAAGAGAGAAAGAAAAAGGAGGAGATCATCATCTGGAAATTTGCTATTAAAAAAATGTTCAAAAGAAGGAGTCAGGTCAGTTATCTCCTTCACAATGATGGTCAAAAAGCAACCTCTTGCTCCACTGGGTATCCATATAATTTGTCATCAAAAATAAAGAAGGAAAGATGAGAAATGGGCATCAGGAGACAAAATGAATGTCAAAACCTTATAAAATATTCACTGATGTTTTGGGGGATTTTCTGAGTTTTGCTAAAACAGCAAATCTCCTGTTCCCTGCAAACTCATCATTAATCTCATTAATTAATCATTAATTAATTAATCATTAAATAACCAATCATTAATAAAACAATTAATCATTAATCTAATCAGTAGTTAATAAATAAATTAAATTCTGCACCTCTGAGATAGTCAAAACTCTAGAATCCTTAATACAGAAGTAATTATGTCATGCACACAAAGTGTAATATGGTAATACATATGTGGCCATATCTAAAACACAGATCTTCTAGATGTTAGAAAGAGATGATTAAGTAGATATCCTAAGACAGGATGCCTAAGAAATGGGAAAAAAATGCTCTGATTGCATTCATTTNTTTTTTTTTTTTTTTTTTTTTTTTGAAAAAAAAGCAGGATTATCAAAGCAAATGTAACTTGCTCAGCATGGCACATGAGTGGGTATGCTCCTAGAGCAGCTGGAACTGTCCAGCCCAGTCATAAGCATAGTCAAAAGCATATGTTTTCACTGAAAGAAGATCATTTAATTTCTTGTCCAAATATCATATTTTTACTGTTTCTTTCACTTAAATTGTAGAACTGCCAGCTAGGGGCCTGCAGACTAATTCAGATGCTGATTAGCTGGCCAGCAAGTCAATACATGGGCACCACTAGCCACTTGTCCTATTTACTCTTGGCTAATGCCCTATCTTTTTTTTTTTTTTTTTTCACTTGTCCTTAAATCCCTTAGACCAGAGGACAACAGTTTTGTTGTGCAGAACTGGGAGTGAATTTTGGGATGAAGGAGGAACACATAAGGGTCTGCCATGGGTGCCACAGGATATGCAGGTAGGGATACAGTGATGTATGGAAATAGGGAAGAAAAAYCATTTGTTCTTCTCTTCCCTAGAAACACCTATTTCTCATCTGTCTGTGTGCARTTTAATCAGACTGAAGATTATTGGCAGCTCATGTTGGAACAAGAGTTACAAGTTGAAAATGTCCTGAGTTGCTTTCAGCATAATTCTTTCTGGCAGCATCATATCTAGCAGACTCTGAGAGACATAAGATAGCTTCCTGCAGACCTTCTCCATATGTCTGTGCTGTATGTCCTAGTGTAAATGCTTCATGTACTGCTGGACCTAAACTGTCTTGAGCATACTGCTCTGTGCATTAGCAAAAGGTTTTTTTCCAGAAGAAAAACATAAAGAGCTCATCCATTATTTCCTCAGGGGTCAGTTTGGGCAAAATAATCATGAGCACACACTTGCAACCCAGACAGAGACAGGCTAGAAAGAGTAGTGTCTCAGTACTGGACTTGCAAATATGTTATGTGGTAGCCATATAATCAGATTTTTCCATCCTGACACTTACCTCTTAATCGCCTGCATCTCCTCTCCTACCTCATGCAGAACCTCATTATTTGCAAATGAGGAATTTCTGGGGTGCATTTTGTTCACAAGAAAACCCATTGCTCATGAATAATTAAATATTTCTCTATATGTACCACACTAATTCACATTCCCTTACACTGTGTCTCAGCCCTGAACCGCAGCAAGCCCTAGAACAAAGTGGATTACTTGTGTAGACATTCAGCTCTTCTTGGCCTGCCCTCTAGGAGTGCTCCATTACTGGAGGGCTCTCCTGCAGATATTCAGATATGCAGATATAAGTTTTATTACTTTCCTGTTCTAATAAAAAGATACACTTTTTTTTTTCCCCTTCATGATTTTCACTTCCTTTTGTCTTATGGTCAGCAGATTTGATTCATCTTGCCAGTCTGTATTTTGAGTTCCAACAGAACATCTTGGCTTTTTTCTTCTCTAATTAGATTCTGTTTGTTACTTCCAGATTCATTCTTAGAGGGGAAAGGTGAGCTCGTATTTCATTTGATGTACCTGGCACTGGACAATTATCTCCTCACAACACCATTCTGGGGAACTTTTATAGCTTAAAGTTAATCAAAATGTGCCATCCCCTTAGATCCCATGAAAAACACAGAAACAAAACCATGAAAGATTTTGCCTCTTTCTACTCCCCTATCTTTCCTTTTTAGTCTCAAAGTCACTGTCACCACTCTTCTTTTTGATCCTAACACTGTCCCTTAGCTTTCATCTTTCTTTTCATATTTCCTAATTCAAGTCCATTTCCTAGAGATTTGTTTCATTGTATAAGGATGAGAGGATTTTATCTCCAAACACATAGGACATAAAAATTGTCAGTAATAGAAAAAGTATGACATACTATATGGTATGTCTGAAATATATTTCTACATAAGACTTGGGAAAAGCAAGATTTTTACAATTTTAGATGATTAGTTTAACTCCTTTTCTGCCAATACCTATTTCTACTCCACACTCCAGAAACTGCACAGTTGCTGTTGCCGCACAGTTAATGATGAAACACCTAGAAAGGTGCAGCTTTTAGCACACTACTTTAACATATTCTTAAAATGATGACAGTTTTCTGGATGCACCAGGGATACAGGTCAGGAACTTGGTCCTCTTGGTCATCCCCYGTCTCTCCCTCACTAACCCCAGTCTGAGGTAACAGAGTTCAGAGTGGTTAGGGAGGATAGACACCTGGGACTGGTCCACTTTTGAATCCATTTCACCATTTTTTAAATCCTTTGTAGTCATCTGAATAGCAATTTTATAACAGCTGTAACTCTGCAGACCATATCTGAATCACACTGAGTAGAAATCAAACACAAGGCAACAGGAATCCTGCTAATGTACAATGACAAGGTAACAAGTTACTTTCTACTGCTAAATTGTTTTGGTGCTGTTCACATGCTCGGACTGTGCCCTGTGATTTGAGGGGATGCTAACACTAGCTTTGCAGGACCACTTGGTCTTTCCCATATCTTATCCCTCAATGGATTGGTGACATCTCTTGTTATAATGTTTTTTACTTGATTTTACTTGAAATTTTGAGGGCTAAAATAAGAAAGGTTACTAATTCATACAAAGAAATCCAGTTCTGTTCCATACAAAGAAATTAGAACTAGAATACAAAGAAAGAATGCTTTCTTTGTATTTCCAGAATAGTCTGAATAACTCTTTTGTTTGTTTGTTTGGTGAACAGCTTATTGTATGCAGCCCAGATCACATTGTATAAAACCATTGTTTCACTCATTGGGCTTTAACCTCTCACAGTTATCTTTCCTTCCAGTGTAATTCCTGCTAACCTTCAGTAGTTTTCAACTTGGAAAAAAAAAATAAAGTGATCTCCAGTTAAGTTGACACATAATTAAAAGCAAACTGTAGAAGTGGTAGAAATGCAAATCTATGAGGTTGTAAAATTACAGGATGAGGGAGAAAGGGAAAACACTGCCTTGAAGAGTGGGTAAAGAACTGATGTGAGGAAACACCATGAAGAGGAACGGGTACTGAATGCCTAAATGAATGTTTAAGCAGTTGATTCTCGAACTAAATTTGCTCTACTGAAATGCTAATGCAGCACCTTCATGAAGCAAGGAGCAGAAGTAGTCAGCTGCTATGAAGAGAACTGACCTGCAGAAGAAAACTTACTAAAATGAACTGCTAATCAGAAGCATTCTTTTCTAGTCTGGAAGCTTAAAAGAGATTTTAAAACATTCCTATTTTGTGGGGGGAGTCTATCGCTTGAACTCTCTGCATCTGAATTATGCATTTTCTTTCCTTCACTGCTTGGGAACCAGTAGAAGAAAAGTATTCCTTTCCTCTCACCATAGGTGAGACAGAGTTCCCATATTCAGGTGCAGGGTCTGCAGCAGCGAGTATCAGGGAAAAATCCTTCTCAGAGCTTTGATCCAAAATTATGTAGTTCAGACACTGCAATGAGCATGGGACAAGCTAAGTTTTGTCAGTTGTGTAAGGTTGCAAAGATGCTGCTCTGCTTCCCAGGGAAGGTGTATGACATGTTCCAGATGCCTTTAAGGACCTAAGGAAAGCTAGAAAAAAATGGTTGACCATTGACCTTGGGGTCAATGCACAGACTGAGCACTACAACTGGCTGTTACAAGCCTCACTGTGCTCGGGCAGGGCAAGTTCCTCGAAGGCCAGCTGAAGTTTAGGCAAGAAGTTTCTTCTGAGCTTTTCTGTAAGTTGTTAAATATGAACATCCATATCAGGTCTTTGCAGAGGTCCACAGGTCCACAGCAAGAGGCAAGACACATCCCTTTCACAGAAAATACCTATTTCTGATATGGCATAGAGAGGTGCCTGAGCTTTTGGGACCCGGAAGTATGGAACATACTTCCAGGAAGTATGTAAGTTTGTAAACACTGCTTCACTTTTTGAGTTCAGAGCAGACCTGCACGGCCTGCACGTGTTCAGAGCACGGCCTGAACAGGAACTTGTTGCAGTTATTTCCCCACATTTAGGTCAACCAGGTAAATATTGGTTCAAATTCTTCTCCTTACAGCAGTGGATAAGTAGGTAAAGGAATCATCAGTGATTACTAAATTTCCTAACATTATCAGAAAAACTGTTACCTACAGGTAACCAAAGGACATCACTCAGTGATAAAACTTGAGAAGTTATGGATATGGATCAGCCTCTTGTTTCTCTGACTGTCACCTCACAGCCGACTCATGGCTCCTCTCAAATCAGGACCAGACCTCACAAAAAGACAGCTGTGGGAGGCTTTTGAAATCTGTGAAACAATTTAAAGGACAGCTATAATATATTATTGTTACTAACCAAAAAAAAAAATTWAAAAAAAGTAGAGCCTAGTAATAACACACATACAAACACGAACTGTTTGTTTTATTACAATTATTTTTATTAAGTTAAAAAAAAAGCAGGATGCTCAAGCTGGCATATTATGGGTTAATAAGATTCAGATGCAAAAAAAGCATAATGCCTAAGAGAGAATATATACAGCAAACTTTGGCAGTAGATATGCATCAAAATTACTCAAAGCTATGTAGACTGATACGCAGCTTATGAAAGASAGCTACACTTTAAAGAAGATTAAGGTACTATTGTTTTAAGCACTGCAATGCCTCTTTCATATTTATCAATGTTTACTATATGTATAATTCAATTTTCATTGAAGTCAGAGGGAAAAATATCTTTTGATTTGAATTACATTTGGATCAGAGCTTAGCTCTGGAAGAAATCTTTCTGCGAAGAAGTAGCCTGAACTGAAAGATCTTTCAACAGTTTCCAGGTATCAAATACTCTCAAATATTGAAAAGCTCAATAATAAAAGGGGAAATAGCTTATTTCCTTAAGATGGTATATTATGAAGCAGAGCTGTTACATTCATCCGCATGTGATTAATTATAATACTCTCCAGTACATGAACACCATCTCACTATGCCAAAGGTTTTGTATTTAAAATTAAAGCCTGATATACACATCTGTCACCAAAAAGTCAGTTGTGGTCTGAATAAAGTTTATCTGCAGCATCCTCTTGTCTCCTGTATGTCATGAGACTGCATTCCTGATCAGAGTTCAGGAAATGTTTGCTTCAAAAGTACAAGTCCTTTATCCATCAGGCTTTGCAATACACATCATATTTTAACCTTTTTCCAAGAGGGATTGCTTCTAAGTGTTCCTTGTACATTTTGTCCATTTCTAAATTATGCTTTTCCGTAAAAAGATTCCGCCAGTCGCTAACACCACCTAAAAAGAAGCAGTATTGATACCACATTGGTATTATAGTCCACATGTTTTAATAGTTGTACTTATTTTCTCAGAATAAGAATCACTTTTTTTTTGCATGTTAAACAAATTGGTTTTTTATTGTTTTTTAATTATTATTGGATTTGATTACTTTTCAAGTTTGAGTGGTCGTGCTAGTCTGCTCACACTCTGAAAAAAAAATAATCTTTATTTCATAGAAAGCTGATGACTCCTCAAAAAGCTCCAACAGATTTTTTCAAAAAAGTGAAGGACTTCATGGTCCTAATCAATTTTACTCACAGAGCTAATGAAAACAACTGACTTATCTGCCTTCCCATCCTCAGGCTGTGAAGAGTGTTATTCTGAGGAGCAGCAGTACCTCATCATTCAAAATGAAGAGCAAGGAAATGAAGTGCGGTCTACTGCAGGCCTAGCMAGCTCTGTCATGCTAAATGTCACCTAATTTCTGCCACTGCTGCTGCAAGACTGTATTTCTTTTCCTTTTAGCCACAAAGGAGAAAAGACCTCATTGCCATGTCACCAACTCTTTGACTCTCCCCATCTCTGGTTACCTGACTTTGGTGAGGCAGATGCAAAGGTTTACAAAGGAGGAAAGGTGTCCAAAAAGCTGTTTGCTAAGCCAGCTAGAAGACTATTGTGAAGTACCCTTTACAACTAGGAAATTCTGTTGATATATTCATCATTCTACAGTGTGAATATTCAGTCAATATTTATGAAAGAAAAATTTTCTGTTATTATACTGGCCAATGAAGCTATAGTATATCTAAAAATAAAAAGGCTGACAACAGTATCTTCAGAATGGGTAAAAAATTCACCTTTTCGGAAGAGGACATCACCAAATGCTCCATGGGTCTCCTTGGAGTTCTTCTTCATAGATTGGAAGCTACTCCTCTGCACAACAGCATGAATTTCTGCTTCATTCAAAGGGAACTCAAAAAATTCAACTATTTTTTTCACTCCTAAATATGTATTCTATTAAGAAAAAAGAAGTAGCACACTGGATATTATCCAAGGAATCACAGTGGTTTCTCCCATACCCTTCCCACTCTATTGTTGGTATCTCTTTTAACTTCACATGATTGTATAAACACAGTGACGCATAGAGGTGTCTTGAGAATTAATCCAACTAATTATGCAAATCAGGATTTAATAGTTAAAGCTATGTGAAAACGAGCAGAGTACATTTACACACAAAGTGATGAAGACGCACAGAAGACCATGTGCATCAATCCAATCTGGACTTAACTAAAAAATATATTAAAACATTTTAGGTTCATATTGTAAATAGTAAGAAAATAAGAGGGGAAGAGAATTATTTATATTTTAATAACTGACCTCTTTATGTTACTGAAATATCAGCAAAAAAAAAACTTCAAGAAACACATTTCTGAGAAAGGAGATTATTGAAACATTCTCTCATGCAGAAAAACAATGTGTAAACCTGTGATGCATTTTTTTCCCTGGAATAGACAGTTATTTTATTTTATTCCTGTTATTTATTCCTCCCCTCATGTCCATTTGCCCTTTATAAAACCCATGATCTGACCTGTGTGGACATGCTTTGCATATAACCAAATGTGCATGTGATATATGATCCCTTGATATCCAGGCATCATTAATCTCTGCTTTCTGAGCCGTGTATGCAAACATGACTCTATGAAGAAATTACATCCCAAACCTAAAGGGGTAAGGTCTCGAAAAGAACAGATAGTCTAGGCTAAAGATCACATGAAATGTCATGGTTAACAAATCCAGCATGCTTTGAAACAGTASTAATGTTGTATTCATACAAGCTTTGTACGCAAGTCATATAATTATTAACCAGCTTTACACTGTTCCAGTCATTTATACTAGCTCAAAGCTAGAGCTTGGACCTCAAGCTGTAGTTGGCAAGCTGATTTCATCTTACATATATCTTCAGAGTTTTAGCACACCTACATCATTTTTTATTATAATGTAGACAATTAGGGTGCATAACTGTCTACATAAAACTAAGTACAATGAAATCTGTGCTCAAAAGATGCAGGAGCCATCTGAAACACTGCTAAAATTACCTCTTTTACGTCTTCAAAACCTATAGGCATAACATTTTCATTGTCAATGTATTTGTTCCATTCAGAAAGATAGTTGAAATAAGATCCCCATGGCACTGTATGAAAGAGAAGCATTCATACTAATTTATAATTTATATTCATTTATAAGAATATATTAATTAAAATAATTACATGATGACATTTTTTTTAAAGACTGAGTGTATGCTTTCCGATCTAGAATCCATGTAGTAACTACAGAAAGGATTCTCTTTCTAAACCCATTTATCTTTAGAAATGAATATCTCTTTAACACCTAGACAATGCAACAAAGACAAAATTAGTCCAGCTTAGCATATAAGAAATAACAATGTTTATTCGATTTGCTGGATACTTTGCTTTGAAAATAAGTATTATTCTTCAGCTACATAATAGAGATACAAATACTTATGCATTAGTTGAGCTTTTATTACCATTGCTGTTTCCACTGCTTCCTCATCCTAAATCATGCTATTCTTAATTGTTAGCAAATTCCTTGTAAATTCCTTAGTGACTACAATTTTTCTGTATGTCTTCATTGCCCAGCTGAGCTGAATGAACTTCACTCAGAAGTGAAGTTAACTTAGTCCAACTGACAACATCCTCAAAGCAAATGCATTTTCTCTTTATTGCAATGTGAAAGGGTCACTGTAAGCATTTGCCTGTCTATGCCAACATGCAAAGATCCTCTAGTAAAATTATTCCCAGATAACTGAAGCAATTGAAGAGAGAGTTATGAGAAAGCCATTGCGAATGTCATATAGTGTTTGTTTTAGAGACTGAGTTGTTGATGATCATAACAGTGAGCGTAAAATGTGAGTAACAGTGACTGTTTCTATTAAAAGAGAATACAATACCTTTTCCAGCCATAAAGTCTTTAAAGAAACAATCCCAAGATTCATAAGATGGAAAAGGAGAAAAGACTAASGAAAAATGGTAGTACGATGTTGCTAAATCTTTTGGATTGCGGAGCAATAGCAGTATCTGGAAAATGTAAATGCAAATATATACAGCTATTAGGAAAGGAGTATAAAGAAAAATAGCAGTTTTCAATTTAACTACCCCAGAATTGATTTCTTGAATTATATAGCTTTGAAGTATTGAGATTATATTATAACTAGTGTCAAAATTATTTAATACTATTTATTTTAAGCCATTTATAGTGAAAGAGTGTTATTAATCAAAATAGATCAGAACAAAAAAATTAAATGAACACAAAAGGTCAAATTGAGATAAAATGATGGTATACTTTGCAGAATCAATTTMTCTCACAGTCCAATCACTTGTGGTAGTACAAGAAAATGGTCATAAAATMAGACTGGTACAGAAAATCTTTACTGACATAAAAATTCATCGATGTCAATATGTTTACAAATCATTAAAATGACACTCACTTTGGCTTTGTTTTTGAAAATGGATTCTGGTAGTTTTTGAGGAGCCATATGGGTACGTATAAGTCTTCTTGGGGGTAATTTCTTCATCCTCTTCAATAAATACAAAGAAGAGAGAAAATATACACAGATGTATTTTGGTTAGAGCATCCCTGCAGTTGTCCATAGTACTTTGCAAAGATGTATTTCATATCACATAAATTCAGTTGTGAAATGACATATAAACATAAAAGCCTACCTCATATTTTTCAGGATCTCCAATTTCAAGGTAGGGAAATTCTTCTGGCACATCATCGTGATTATTTGTTTCATTTTTMTTTTTCTTTGCAGCGGTTGCTATCAAGTCACTTAAGATTTGACCGAACCAGTTTGTACCTGGAAGCACAAAGAAAGGAATTGCATGGAAAATTTTAAGCATAGTCTTTCATGCAATGTATGAAATGGTGAATGAGAAGGACCACTAAAATTTCAATAAACAAAGAAAATACTTTCCAGAATAGATATTCACACTCATAGAGATAAGATACTCACACTCATAGAGATAAGATGCTAGACACTGCACAGTACCCAAAATTGCCTACCTATGGTATTTAAAACATTACAGAATGCTATAACGAAGTCACTGTGGTTTCTTCTGCTTTGATAAGGATAAAAGGAAAGAATTTATTACTGAGTTTGTATGAAATTGAAAAATATGAAGAGATTAAAATATTGCTTATTGCTCTAAACAAATTTATCTGTTTCCTTGTTTTAGTACTAATTAACAGGAAAGTTTTAAGGAGGGAGTAAAAGAGGTACTTAGTCAGACTGCACAAGAGTATTACTAAAATCCATGAGATAACATTGTGATTATCCCTCATCTTTAACTCTCTTACTCATCTTTTTTGTAGTTTGTCAAAAATTTCTCTTTGTTTGAACCAACCCTGATGAAAATCATAGTCAGTGGAAATTGCCATAAATTTGAAGTAGCTCATTTAGCAGGTCCATTAATTGAATGAAAACATGTAAATAATTAAAATGTTAAAAGAGTCATGTAGAACCTTGTAACAGGAATGTTAATACTGATGTGAATGCAGTAGGAATGGGATRTGTGTCTACAAGCACTAGGAGAAACAGCAGATCAACGGTTAAAAGGTTGGCCAGTATTCATAACAAAGAAGGACACTTCATAGCAATGCAACTAAGGAATGTGTTGCTTATGTTAAGCTGAGAAGGCCTGTGCTCTGATAAGATCACAGCACTGTAACTTGTCAGCAGAAGACCTTGCAGTGTGACAATAAGAGGAAAGCAGCAAGGTTACAGCATATCCTATGTGCCATTCCTTTTCCTCTTAGCTAAACAAGAAAACAGACTATAGTCCTAAAAAAATTAACACGAGGACACACAATGGGCAGCAGAGCTGCATAAATACATGGAGGCTGAAATAAGAATGCAATGAAATGAAAGGATCACACTGAAATAATGTCTCTGAAAAGTCTGAGTTTCTATGACTTCTGAGATTTCTTATGATGAAAATGCTAACATTTGTATTTTGGTATGACTGAAATATGGCATATCACCCATAAAAGAGGGAATATACAACATTGCACATGAAAAAAAAATAGTTTTAAGTCAATGACAATTTTTTTGAATTTACAAATAGAAATGTCACTTTGCTGTCATCTATTTCAAAACAACCTTAAGTAAATATTTTCATAAATCCATTTAAATGCACAATAATTGCATTAGTAATAGCAGTAGAGGTATTGCTATTGTTGTTGTTGCTATTGTTACTATTACACCTGTTTCAATTATCATTGTTATTATGGCATCCTCGTTTGTGCAGCAAGCAAAACATACCAGATTTAGGAAAACCTGCTAGAATGACATCATCTCTTCTGGCTTCAAAGGACTCCATAGCTTTGAATATTTCAGGAGTGCAAAGYGTAGTTGGGTAGACAGTGCCCTTGTAGGTAAAGATCAGGTCTTTACGTTCTAAGGTGTCAGCAGCAATCATCGATTTTTCCAGTACATCAGCTAAAGCTGTTTTAGGCTTTGCCATTCTCTTCTCTTTACTTCCCTTTTCTTTCTTTCTAAAAGTCCCTGTTGAAGTGTAATCCYGGGAAGACAGAGGCAGGCACAGGTCAGGTATTTATGGGATATTTTTGTCCGTGTACTTTTCTTAACTCCTCCTTTCCAAGCCCGTTGTGTACAAAAAACCTGAACCAGCTACAAATGGGTCATTCAAATGTGTCTCTTTGACCTCAAYGAGAAAAAAAAAAATGGTCCCAAAGGAAAAATAACCTAAAAAATAAAAATAAAATAATAAAATAAATAATGGTTATGATGATTCAAAGACAAGCTAACAGGCAATGCATATTTTCAAGTGTTTATTCTGATTCCATTACAGTTAACACAGCCTTTAGCATATGTTCAATGGACATGAGATAGTTAACAGCAATTAACTTTCATATTTTGATTATACATTAACATGAAAATCTTAATACATTAATATGATAATCTTGGGAGAATGTGAGATCTTTTTCAAACACTCTGGGGGAAGGAAATTTAGAATACATTTTTATGCCTATTAACTAACAAATACTTTCCAACTAGGAATTTCAACATATTGCACAGGAATACTGTTAATAATGCAATAATCTGCTCCTATATTCCTAATGACTTGAGACACATATTACAATATTTAACAAAATGTACAAATATCTTCCTTCTCATTGTGGAATAGCTAAGCAACCTAGCTGTACTGACATAAGAGGAGACCACACTTGGCACATTCTAAAAACTATATTTTTTACTTGTACTTTTCAAATGGTTTTCAAAATGATGAGCTAATGATTTGGACTGTAATTTTAACATAATATGTGTTACATAAACTAAGAACTTTTATGCTAAAAGCAAGAGTAGCCATAAGCTCTTGATCTAAAAGCATCTAAGCAGCTCATAGTTTCTTGCTGCAGGATGTTGTGGTGCTGAGAGCTGACAAGTATTCAAAGGACAGTGCTCAAAAACTATGGAAGAGAAATTCTCAAAGGGCTGTTAAATACAAAGATTTCCAGATTAGAAGGTCCTTAAGCCAGTAATTATTGAAAAATAAGAAGCTTATCTGAGGAATTACTATTATTTGTTTATTTTTCCTACACTCTTCTCTAGTTGGTCTGTTGGCCATTTCAGTTCATAAAATACATAGCTGAATGCTCCCTTGGTCTTTTCTAGGATGGGACATCAGGTTTTCTTATTCTTCAGAGACCTTGGACTCATATCAAAGGTGTCYGCCAAAATCAATATTTATCTTGTAATTGATAGATAAAATGTCTGACCTAAAACATGACTTTAGCTTCAGCATACATTTATATTATGCAATATTTGTTTGAATATACAGCTAAGCACTCTTGCTTGGGTTGCAGTTGGTGAAAGGATCAGTTTTCAACTTTTATTTCACTGTTCTGATTGCTTAGCTCACAATTATACTAAAAAAAATAGAGTTATATCCTAGTCTATGTGTATGTCCTTGTTGTGTCTGTGAATGTGGTTTCATATCATTATTTATTCTACGAGGAATGGATCATAWCAATACTGTCAATCATCCCAAAGCCTTTCAGGCTGAGAACTTGACCTGTTGCCAAGGCCATATTTTAAGAGAACTTGAGTGAAAATGATCTTACCACTTTGGAGTATGAGAAAAATGGTTGGGAAAATAGTTTTGTCCCTCCTTATTATGGGATCATTGTGATTATGTCTGAATTACAAGTCATGGTTCAAACCTTGCCCAAGTCAGACCTTTAACACACAGAATATAAACCACATGAGTTTAGTTCAGTCTCCGTGCTCAAAATGAGAAGATAATATAACAAGTTTCCTCTACAGGAGAGGTTACAATTACTTAAAATATTAATGATAAAATAATGCCAGAATGGAAAAAACAGCTACTATCAGCCCACTGTTGCCCTTACCTGCATAGCTAGATAAGCCAAAGTGAGTTACTGTGGTAGTGAGCAGACATTTGACTTCATTATTTGGCATGAAACACAGAGCATTACATAAAAGCACAGCTAACAACTGGCTAAAGTAGGAGCAAGGAGCAGCCCTGTCCTCTGTCTTGCTGGGTAAAGAGTTGCACTCCAGTCAGAAGTGAAATATCCCATCATTTATACCATTTTTAATATCAAAAAAGGAGTCTTTATTTCAACATTTTGGATACTGAAATACTGAACAACTAGAAGCAATAATGAAGCAATATTATCTACAAATAATTGTAGAGTTAAAATATCTAAAGAAAATGTGCACAGAAGCATTGATGGAAGTGTGTTTCAGTAGTTGCATGTTTAGTTTCATGTCTCACATTAAAATTCATATTTTATTATTATTTTTCCTCTCAACTTAATACCTYGATTCATCTTCCATATTTTGACAATTTCTTTATTCTGAGAATCAATAAAACATTTTTTTCTGAGCTACCAATGTTGCTTTCAAATAAACACATATTTTACATGTAGGTTTTTTTGGTTTAGTTTTGGTTTGAATTCACATATTAAGGAGCATGCAATTTTGAGATCATTAATTTCTCAGAATGGATTCTATCAATGCAGGCTCACAATTCAGTACTTTCTCAAAYTCAAACTATATTTCATAGGCTTTGATGATGATCCTTCTAAAGAATACTACTTTATTCCAATGTTATTTTTACTCATTGCCAATATCTTTTAAACAGGCATCAGTAGCGTCATATAGTGAGGTTATTTTGACTTCTAATTAAATGGTTTTTTTTTTTTTAATTAAATTCTTCATCTCTCATCAACAATGAGGTCATRTGCTGTCTTAAAATCAACTAGTTTATGTGGTTTAATGCTCCCCAGCTGCTCACCCACAATATTCTGGAATGTCTCACAACCCAGTACTACACCTGGCCATTTCCAAGACCATATGTTTATAAAACATATATTAAATATCATATGATGAACATTATCTTATTGCCAAGGAAGGTTTAGTGACATGATTCTCTTCAGACAAACTTTGAACACTAGAAATGTCTTTGACAAAGTTGTGGGAAATGCAGATATGCTTCCAGTTACGGGAAATTCAGATAGCCTTCCCTAAGCATTTCAAAGTGATTTGAATGTCCTCATTTGATATCCCTTCTTTCATAACTGGTTAAACAAAAGCTCACAAAAATTAATCAGATAGAAGCTCAGAAATGTTGAGCAAACTACGTTTTTTTACTTCAGTGGAAGTCACAGAGTGTCAGCACAGTTCTCATGAATGTCTTGTGAATGACAGGATTTTGGCAAAGCTGGTACTACCTTATGACATTGTACAAAATCCTGTTTAATCAGCTGCTTATCCATCATCTGTAATTTGGACCCAGGGCAGACATCTAGGACAGAGATTGCAGGAAGGAAAAGGTAGTATAGGGGCAGTGAAGCAATTTCTCAATAAAAGTTTTGTTACCATTAAAGATGGGTATATTCATTCTTAGGATATATCATCTCCTTTCTCGCTAAGGACTGGAACCTCAGACAGAAGGGTGTAAACTAGTAAGATCTGATTGAGTATGAGTAAAACTGCAGAAAATATTCACAGGTTGCATCCTCATGCAGAGAAGCCTTGTGCAATAAATCTAAATTTCTGAGGGCTTCTCTTTTCCTGACTGGATTCCTTAGTTCTATTCTTGTCCTTCCTAGATGGATTTTTGTAAAATGGACTCTGATCCACTGACCAGAACAAAACATTGCTAAAGGCAGACAAACAAGAGGTAGATCTAGCTTTTCAGCTTTTCGGTGGTGTTTGCTTTTCTTTTTCTTTTTTTTTTTTTTTTTCCTGTGCTGGGAGGAGGGGACCTATGAATGATCTGTTTCAGTTTTTTTAATTGCTTGCTTTGCAGTCTAACAGTAAATTGTATAAATACATATGTGTGATAATATCTAAGAAATATATAAAAAATCTACTTGCAATGAGCTATTAGTTACATTCCTGTTATCTATGCTCTTGGCAATATTCTTGTTTTCTCTTCCATTCCTCCTGATATGTAGTTTCTACATAATTTCTTTACTCATCTATCATTTTCTTGGCCTTCTATCATTTGATTAATTTCACCAAGAAACATTCATTGCATTTATTCCAAAACAATGACTAAGTGAATGGCAATGAATCCTTAYAATTTACCCTAAATTAACCACGCATAACAAGAGAAACAATATTGATTGCAGTAACTTGGAACTTACCTGGATCTCCCAATTCAATATATAAATATCCTTTTTTTTTTTTTTTTGACCATACTTTTCACTTTTTAGTTGCTCCCTCTTCATTTTCTTTAGCATTTAGTCTAACTAATCTTACAATGTCTGGAAGATTCAAATATTCAGTGAAATTATTCAGTGAAAATTATCTGGCATTTTCCTAAGTGATCTGTGGGGGAAAAAAAAAAAAAAAAAAAAAGAATAAAATAGAAACAGAATTAGAAATGTAGAACTGGTAAAAAGCAAAAAAAAAAAATCTTGGTTATTATTTTCTGGAGCATATGATTATATGATTTCAACCATTCTCAAAAATAAACATTCACACAAGTAGAAAAATGTAGAAAAACTAGTTTTATATACCTCATAAGTCTACAATTCTTAGTTTCCCGTAATTATTTTAAAGATCAAATCACAAAATTTAAGGGAATCGGTCAAACGTATGTCAAATGTATCGGTCAAATTGGTCATTAGTGTTCAAAATTAATGGAATTCTTTTAAAGTCAAAAATGAACAATGAAGTAATTGGGTTGAGCACCTACAACCTTTGAATGATTTTTTCAACCAGTTTCGTGGGTCAATACCAAACATTTTCTCTGAACTGAACTGCAAGCAGATGTCACCTAGCTCTAATTTTATCGCCAAAATGTTCTTTTAGGACTTTTTCCTTGTATTTTGCAATGCTGGACTTCAACTTCTCCTTTATTTGGCACTTCTGGGTCAGTGATTGAGAGATGGCACTAGTTGAATCTCTGAGCATTAATGTACTTGTAATTAACTTTTCTATCTGCTTCCCAGATTATACCATACAGCTAGCTGTGCTTACTACGATACACTTTATTTATGTTTCCTTCTTAAATGATTCAGA